ACTAACAGGTTTTGTAGCTGAATAACAACACTTCTTCTGCCATTGCTTCTGCCGTGCAATATTTTAAATCACATGGCCACAAGGACCTACTCAGGTAAGCGTAAGCACAGAATTTGAACAAATAATGATGTCATGCTTCGAGTGAATCTCGCCATGTTGTCTACATCAGAGGAGAAAACAATTGAAACAGCTCAAGTTATGCAGGGAGAAAAAGGAATAGGCAGATGCTATGAAATAATAATTGATTGATGACAGCAGTGTGTAGGAGATGTAGACACTCGGATGTGAGGAAAGGCAGCTGGATGAGTGGAGCTTGGGAAGAGAGAAGAAAAGAGGGAGCCATCACATGATCGGTCTCTTTATAACTGTGCTCCTCTCTAGCAACCAAGGGCTCCACTCAGTAATTCAAAGACCAAATCAATACACAGACATGCACGCGCGCACACACACACTGATATGTCCTGTGACGCACACAGAAAACACATACGCTGTGTACACTTGCCTCCAAGTAGGTGAGCTGGATAATCCCATGACTTGCCTGACCTCCTCCACACACCCTTCCAGTAGTGACACTCAATTGGCTGAGAGGCTGAGCAAGGGGGGTGGGGTGGAAGGTCTGTGCTCCAGCAGTAGTAACATGAATATTATACAACAGTGGCAGATGAGGTGGGGTGAAGGAAGAGGGAGAATAAGCGGTGATGGAAAAGGAGGAAGTGAGAGCGGGGAAAGGAAAGGCAGGGAAGGAAAACTACAGTAAGACAGTGAAATTACACAATGATTTGAAAGACAGTTGAAGTGGGGGTTTTTTTTAACTCCAGTATAATGGTGATAATGCCACTGGGACTACGAAGTATTTCACAACAACATGATATTACCAAACAACGAGCCATATTTTAATATAGAGCTACTGTACAATTGTAACCAGAAACAATAGATTGGCAGCTGTGCAATAGGTGTGTTTGTCAGCAGGTATGTCGTGATCCTAAATTTAGGAACAGGATTTTTTTTTTTTTTCCATTATGTAATAGGTTTAAACATAATTCTCAGAGAAACTTACAGTATTTTATCAAAGGAGACAACTCTAACAGCTCTGATGTTTACATTAGTTTTCTCAAATGTCTACCCCAATTCGTTTGGCGACGTCCGTTTCTTTATCTTTGTTGAGCCTCAGCACATTTACCCAAAAAAAGCTTTCTTCTTAATTTAAAAACTGCTCGCATTGGTTCCCACTGTAGTCGCTGGTATATGGTTCCCCAGTGACATAGCGGGTCAGCCCAGTTCAACAGCCCCCCTTCGTAGTTGCTGTAGGCTGCTTGCTTGTTTTGTGTGTTAGTCTTTTCTGCCTCCTTCTAATAAAAATTTTTTGGCATTCTAAAATTGTATACCACATTTATAAATAGTGTATGTATATAATTTAAAGTAATAGTTTGTGTTTTTATGTAAATATTTAAAATCAACATCTTGATAACTGAATTACACGTATCAGCAATGGAATGAAATGTATAAAGGAAGCACTGTTTAATTCAAAACTGAGAAAAGTCTGGGGGCGGCTGTGGCTTAGGAAGTAGAACGGGTCATTTCCTAACTGGAGGATTAGCGGTTTGATTCCCGGCTTGTCCAGTCAACATGTCGAAGTGTCCTTGAGCAAGACACTGAACCCCCAGCTGCTCCCGGTGATAACACCAGTGTGTGTGAATGTGTGAGCATTTGTGAGTGCGAATGGGTGAATGGCCAAATAGTGTGAAAGTGCTTTGAGTGTGCTGCAATGCATAGAAAAGTGCTATACAAGTATAAGACCATTCACCATTTTCTGTTATACATTCCTCACTTCGTAGAAACAAAAGATTTGTGTAGAGAGTTAGGATTGTGCATTTTTGTTTGTTGCAACATAGTTTCATGTAATTGATTTGTTATTGTTCTTGAGTCTGGTTGTCAAGGCCCAGTGTATGTGTTCACAGATACCAAGAGTAATTTGGGTGGAGATAGAGCAGCAAGGGTGCTGAATGTTTTCTGCTTAAACAGATATTGGCCTATTTCCAGTCTGCGCTGGCCAAACGTTTTAAAACCTGCTATTTTGTCTGAATTGACTGAGAAGCCTGGCTTTAGGAAGCAGCATAGTACTACTGCAGTGAAAGTCATGAATGATCATAGTTTTGAACATGAAGCAGAGCTGTGTAGCTTTATTTACTGATTTGATTGTGCTCTAAACTCCAGGGTTAGTCGGCCTTATATGTGCTGTTTGAGTCACTGATACATTTTTATTTATACAGCTATTCTAGACAAACCTGCCTCATATTGTCCATTCATAAGCTTAGATCACAAGAAACATATCTTCTGTCTGTCCCTAGCAACAGAGAAGGGAAAGAAAGCAACCATGTTTTCTGGTCCAGCTGCTTGGAATAGTTTGCAGGGGAGAAATGAAAGAACTCAGAGTTGAAGAGACAGAATGACTAAGTATCTGCATTCGATTATTGCCCTCTGCTCCAGTTTGGAAGTGTCCCTAATGAAGCTTGAATGTGTGCTGCATGGCTCAGAGCCACACTTGTTGGCTCAGCAATGGGTGGAACATAAGCATGACAGCGGGAGTAGGGGGTTATAAATGTTTAATTCAAACACCACCTTGTGGTTGCTCCACATTACCAGTACTTTAAGCCATGCCACAACAGAGTAGAATAGAATTGTAGAGTATGAAATTTATTTATTTTTTGGCTCTGTAATGGTCAAAAGGTTAAAACATAAATGACTTCATTTTGCTGTGCAGTTGTTTCTAATGAAGACTGATTATCTGAAGAGTCTTGAATCATAAAAGTAAATACTTGCACTATGCCTTACTTGGCTGGTTTGTGGTTATGTGTCATGTGATCTCCTGCTTTGCTGGCAGTCTGTCTTTTTTCCCAGTATCTGACCAATCCTGAGGGAGCATCACAGGGCAAGCACTGCAAAAGAACTAATGTTCACAGCTTCTTCATTTGAATTTGTAGCTTATTTTAGTTGACAAGTAAGGAGAGAGCCAGACAGATGAGTGTATAATTGGACACCATGTTAAAACCAGAGGTTAAAAGAGGACAGTTTCCATAAATACCCTGTGAGATTCAAGGTTAAGACCTGAGAATATTAGCAAGTGTTTGCCATTGTGTAGATAAAACTTAACTGTAGTGTGTACAGGTCATAATAAGACTGGGCTTGCATCATACGATGATGTATCATATAGTTTGCAGTACATGCAGAATCAGTTGCACAGAGTGAAAAATGATTGTTGGGTACATACTGTAATTCGGATTTTGGTGTCACATGGAGGCCATAGTTGTGGGGTTTAGTAAGTTTCAGAATGAGCCATTAAGTTATTTAGATGTTAGTAATGCAGCCTTCTAGGTCTTAGGTTGATTTATGCATTTTCTGTTTGAATAAACCTAAAGTCCTGGTGTATTTGTTATCACTTTTGCATTTGGTTTCACAAAGCAAGTCTCCTTTTAATTGTCATTGCAGCAGTACCCGTTTTACTTTTTCTAAAAAGCAAAAAAAAAAAAAAGTAGCAATAATTGAAAAACCAAAGAAGTTATTTCTAGTCTCTGTTTGACTTTGTTTTATTAGCATCTTCTAAAAAGCAAATTTTGTACAGTACAGATAATGTCATCACTGTGAGCGTCACTATCCCTCCTCTTGATTCTGGGAACAAGCTCCATGCTCCTCATTCCCTCTGTGTTTATGCCATCTGCAAAACAGTGTGAGTGTGTATTGTTTCCAGATGACTGCCAGTCCTGTTTGTATGTGCTATGAATGATCTTGGCCAGTTCAGTGTTAAACTACGGCTAAACTTAGCTGGGTATCTTTTAGGATCCTCCTCCTCTACTCCTCTTTGGTCACAGTCCAGTTTACATAAGCTAAGTGTTGTCTTTCCAATGTCCATGAAGCACCAGCCGATGTGAAATTAGGTCATGCGTGAACAGGTGGGGGTAGCTTCTGGTTTGTGTGACAAGCACTAACATGTCTTATTTATATGCTCTCTTCATTTATACTTTCTTCTCCTGTTTTTGCAAACATGCTCTGTAGCCAGAGCTATGGAAAGAAAATTGATAGAAACAACTCTTAGAGCATTAGTTACTGTAAATAATAATCCATAATCAGCAAGAGGGCTAAGATAAGTCAATATCAAACCAACTTTTTTAAATAATATCCATGTACATTCCCACTAGTGTGCTGCCAAGAAAAAGAAGTGAGAACAATTTTAAGTGCCTTTAATATTCTTGTCATGGAGTCTGTTTGCCCACAACATGCCCTTAAACCTGGCATTTTCTTAGTTAATGTGTCGGCAATTTGCCTGCAATACATCTGATAAATGGGTGTTGATACCTGGTTTAGTTTCCAAGTGCAGTTCAGGTGGCTTAGTTAAGTCTAATTATAGACAGTCAGAGATAACAGCAACTCTGTGTGTGTGTGTGTGTGTGTGTGTGTGTGTGTGCGCGCGCATGAAAGTTTTTCCGGAGGTTTAAACATGGCCTTAATTCCTTAATTTGCATCATAACACAACTGGAGGCTTGGAGAGAGATTTAGAGCTTAGTTAGTGTAGAGAAGAGCCTTCACCGGTGATAGTGATTTAACAAAGTAAACAATGATCACTTTGTGTGCACAGAATAAAGTAAAACTACAAGGGTGGCAAATGAAAAGTGCTCAGTCCTCACCATGAGAGCCATCTGAATAAAGGCTTTTTTATTAATTTCCAGAAGAGTGCTTTGGATTTTCCCTTTTTCCATTTTTGGTCCCCTCTTCCCAAAGAGCACCTTCAACAAATCTGAGATATTTTGCTTAGTTTATCACAGTTGTCCAAATAGTTTTCATGTCTCCTAGCAACAATCCAGCGTATCACTGAGACTGTTTATATTCATAAACCCACCCTTGGCAGCCTGCCTTGGATTTTTCCACAAGCGTTTTCATATTTGCTTGCAGATCACCTGACCATCTCATTTCTCGTCTCTTTCTCTCTCTGTCTGTATGCATTCCAGCTTGTCTCCCAGAACAGGAGAGACCAGCAGTTCTGTGGCACCAGGCCAGTCCAAGCCCAGTGGGCAAACCCATAAGATCTGTTTGGTGTGTTCGGACGAGGCCTCGGGATGCCACTACGGCGTTGTGACCTGTGGCAGTTGTAAGGTGTTCTTCAAGAGGGCCGTCGAAGGTTGGTTTCACATGCCTACACCTCAGTCAGGCATGACACACTATGATGACAGGTGATAGTTTTTACACACATGACTTAAGGACAACTATGTAAACAAAATTGTGATTTTAATTAAAACTTTTTTGTCCTTTTGAACACATTTACACCAGGTTATTATCATATTTTATATTATCCATCTGCAACCTCATAAATGTGCACCTAACAGCAGTGGTTTAAATCCCAAAAATGCTCATTCACTTGTTTATCCTGTGCCAAATCAGAGTTGACTTGCAAGTAATTGATTAATAACTAAAATGCTAACCATCTAACATAGTACTGCCTTATAGAGGGTTGGTATTATAATGAACTTGTAAGACAGCCTTTCTTCTGTTTAGCTTCTACTGCCTTATAGAGGGTTGGTATTATAGTGAACTTGTAAGACAGCCTTTCTTCTGTTTAGCTTCATGAATGTTTGATACCTTATAATATAGTATTTAACCCTTGTCTTGGGACACTTGTCTTGACACAATCTTGTGATGGGAGGGGCAGGGATGCAAATGACAAACAAACACGGTAATTTGTGTTAAAGCCTTTCTACCATGCATTCTATCTCCCTCTGCTTCGGTTTCTTGGCTTTCTAAAGCTGACTCTGCAAATGTGTCATTAGTTTGAAAAGGCTTTCTGAGGAGTATGCTACTGTTAATGACATATATGTTCATCACAGGTAATGCCTAGGTGAACAATAACTAAACCACTATACATATTATTGACCCAACACTGGTACTAAATGCACAGAAATGACTCACACTAACACTGTTTTGTCATGTCCTAGTTAGAAGATGGACATCCTTGGGCTTTTTTTTTCTTTCTGTTATCAGGTACTCTCTCTGTTTCCTGTGTATCTAGTGAAATAACACAGTTAGTGATCAAACATATTACTCTGAATGTAAAGTGGTGCAGCAAACAGACCGAGGCTGTAATTCCTTTAGAAAACATGCAGTATGTTATCATAATGATACAGTTAAACTCTAAAATTACCAAAACAAGCACTTGATATGAGCTGAATTCAAACTCAGAACACTCAAGCTGAAGTATTAAGTTTTATTTTGAAAAGAATTTGGATAAAGTTGTCTGTTACTTTTGTTTTTCTCCCCCCTCTCCATTTTCCGGCCATTGTCTCTATGGTGAAGGATGGAGAGCACGACAAAACACTGATGGTAAATAAGTGCACTTTTTCTCTAGAGATGCACCGATCGATTAGTGGAGATTGACATGACCGATTTTCAGTTTGATTGGCCTTGATTTCTGATTCTGTGCCGATCAGATTTATAGACACAACAGTGTGTGTTGCACACGCAGTGGCAAAGACCAAAAGCGCAGCATGTGCAACACATAGCATCTCGTGTGTACCTCAAGTGAGGCTCGTACTATGTCTGTATCGGGCATGTGTTCCCTTGCACATTGGAAGCGCTTGGTGTACAAATAGTGGACAGAGGAGCCTACAGAAACACCTTGGAGAGGAGGAATTACTGTATCCCAGACAAATAAGAGAATTATTGGCTACACATGTATATGTGCCGTGTATCCAGCCCACGGTAAAACACAGCAAATACAAACTACGCACACTTCAAAAAGAACTGTGTGCTCAGTGGGACTGATGTAACAGACAGTCTTCTGTCTCTGTTACCTGTTCCGTCTGTTTATATTTAGGTAAGTGCAAATATTGCACATTTTTATTTAGAGAACTGCAAAAAAAAAAAAAAAAAGGGAGGGGAAAAGACAGAAAATGTAAAACTTTATTACGTTTTGTTTTTATTCATTTCATTTTTCATTAAAGTTACAAAAATGTCTGTGTATACCGTTAATTACAGTCGTTAGAAAGAAAATTGGAATTGGCAGGTCAGAATAAAAAAAAATTGGAATCGGCCCAGAAAGTTGCAATCGGTGCATCTCTAATAATAACTGTAATGATGATGATGATGGTAATAATATCACCTCTGATTTGCACATTTCTCTGTATTCCGTCAGCAATGAATTATGACCAATCAGCACAGACGCGTGTCTTCTGCCAGCTATCTGTTAATGCATGCACATTTTTTGGTATTTCAAGTCAGTGTAAATTGCCTGTGAGTGATTTATTTATTCTCTTTCTCTTGCTCTTTTTGCAGTTCAGTTTCTGTTCTGCTCAGTATTATATCCTCGCAGGTGGTAGGATCCAATTATTGCAATCATGCCCCATCTCTAATTAGGTCTATTCTGTCACACTTGACCCACATTGACCCTCCTGAGATCTGAAGTGAAATCATCTTAAATCATCTCCTTTTTTTTCCTCTTGTGCTGTTCATGTCATTTATTTTCCCCGTATGTTTCACTGTTTTCACTGATCACTGCATTTAGACCGTCTCCAGGTTACTCATATCTCAGTTATTTATTTATTTTAGCAGGAAAAACAGCATTGCAATGAAAACATTACCAGTTGTGGGCCTGTCTCAGTTCAAGAACTGTTTCACAGCAGGTTCTGTGCGGGCCCAACAGTAAGGACAGAATAAAAATAGGTATCGGCACTGAATAAGATTAAGAATATAAACAAAGTATTCAACAATAATGCTGAAAGCAAAATACAAATAACATAATAAAAGTGTACAAACATACCTGGTAAATCAAATAAAAGTACACTTTTAGTAAAAAGAACACAATAATTCTGTAACTGAGATTTATTCTGTGAATTGATAAACCATGAAATATTTCTAATGTGACATGGAATATTGGTCCAGTACTGGTACTGTATATGTATAAAAGAACAGCTTCACGCTGTAGTTGCTTTTTAAAAGCAGGTACAGTGTTCAGTTGATTTGTAATGGCTCTGGTTCTTTTCATTATTTCCTGGTTGAAGAGCACAAAGTGAGGACAGGAGGTGATTCCCATTTATTTGATGGTACAGTGTAATACTGTACCTTTAAGTGCTATACAGTTGTGAACATTTAAGGCTTTAGAATGCAATAATGCAACACAGGGATGAGTCGTGGGAAAATTTTTTAATGAATCTTACAAGCTCTGGTATAAAGTTGGATTATTAGTTCAATATGCTCTTTTTAGTAAGAGACCAAATTGGCAGACAATAAGAAATGTTGAGAGTAGGATGGTATGAGGATATAAAGTTTGGGTTTCAGGTTTCAGTTTAAACTGTCAGACACGCTAAACCTGGAATTTTCAGTCCATTATACTAAGCATCTTAAGGGCACTATGTTTTCCTAATATCACAGTTATAAGTAAAGCTTTTAGAATTGTTGTCTATATATATATATATATATATACGTATATTTGACTTTAAATGCTGATTACAGGGTTAGTAACATTACATCAGTGTCATCACTGTCCTGTGAAAACCATCGATCTACAACATTTAAATACCAAATGAGTGAGACTCACATTATACATAAAAAGCATAAACTGACAGTCCTAGGTGTCAGGGTAAGTCCATGGCTTCAGTTGTTGATAAACTTCAGAAAATGGAGCAGCTAGAAAAAAAGCACAACTGCTGACTGTTGATGGGTATAATAAACCCAGAGGACTGTTCAAGTTAGGAATGGAAAAAGGGTGTGTCTGCCTTAGATTACATTTTAGTTCAACCACATCATATTTCATTTCACAATGGAAGCCTTCAAAATAAAGCTATTCCTGTATGGCAGGAAAAAATGTAGCCTGGGAAAAGTGATGGTTTGCTATAATAGAACTCTTTTCCAAATTATGCAAATCCTTAAATAAGTCTTAAATAAAAGAAACATATACTAAAACAGACTAGATTGTAAAAATGTAGGTTTGGACTTTTATCTGTATGGTATATTATAAACCTGTGGAGCTGATGTGTGCTGCAAGGCCCCAGTTAACAGATCAGGGCAGGATAAGGGAGGGAGGATATCACTGGGGTTCAGCTGGCATGTTTGACACCACATATGGCTGGTTACGCTGTTGTTTGCAATGACTTCCTGTGATATCAGTGATGACTGTAACTGGCAACCACCAGGCTGCTAGCTTGTCATCACACCGCCAACCCTGCAGATAAATTTCTAACTAATGTGGAATATGATATGCATGTCTGTTTGTGTGAATTGGACATTAACAACACTGCTTTGTTATAGTGACATTAGTCCATACTATACTGTAAACACCAGTGTTAATTTTGTTTTACAGTGCTTTGTTAAAGTGCTGTACAGTGCATATTACAGACACCTGTTTGCTCCATCTTGAGTGCAGAATTTATTTAGCTTCAGCTGCCATCATAGGACACTGCTGCTCTTAAGCATCATTAGCCCTAGCTAATCATTTACTTGATGTCCCAGATTGATTATTTGCTGGTGCTCATAGTTCATGGATTTAGACTGCTGTGTCATTCGTTTGTGAGCATACAGACCAAAATGATTAAAAAAAAAATATATATATATATTGCCTACATTAATTTTCTAGTCATTCTTACCAATGGCAAATGTGGAAGCTAGCCAGTTAAAGTTACATCCACAGCCCTTGCTACTGTTTTGGTAGCTTACAGTCAACATGCACTTGCATGTTCTGTACTTGCAGGTTTTATTGTATTGAGTGTGGTGATCTCTTCTTCAGTATTTATCTTAGTATCTTCTGCTTCTTCTGTTTCTCACAGGGCAGATCTGCTCTGTAATGAGTAATGCTGTTATAACAGGAGTGACTAATGACTGGGCCTCCTACCTAAACCATCCATATTCACCGTAATTGGTGATGGGGGAGTACATTATAATTTAGTCATCCAGAATGGGCACATGCGCTTTAATATGACATACTTTTGTACGTCACAGTTTCTGGTGGAATACAGGCCCTAGTGCTGTGATATAGTTGTTTTTCTGTCTCAGGGGTTGAGCTAAAAATGTTGGTGAGATGCAGCACACACAGATCACTAGGGTGTCCCGAATGTCAGTTTCTGAGCTTCGCTAGTAATAATCGGCAAATATAGGAAGAGGTTGGTGAAATGCGTTAAGATGTTCTGCTGTCTCAAATATTCAAATACTATAATTGAAACCTGATTACCTACCCAACAAACAAATATCCGAATAGCCCTACAGATCACCTGTCATCTGGGTAA